CACTAATACTGCCGTCGTTGAAATTCCCGCCAACGCCGAAAGATCTTCTGCCGCAAATATTCGTGCCAAAACCGCTGTCGCCGCCATTAACAGCTCCTTGGGTTATGAAAGCTCTGCTGCTGCATGCATCCCCGACGGCTTCAATAGTTTAGCCAGCGACACTAGCTCCGCTGCTTTGCACAATATTACTGGCAATGCCTTGGATCAACAGCTTAGGGAACTAAGGAAGAAACGCGAGCTGTTGGAGCTACAAAAACAAATTTATGAGTTGGAAAACTCGATTGGTAGGCCCACCGGATGCAGAGCCTCGTTCGCGGACATCGAACACGCTGTACCAAAATTTACTGGTGATAACTCCACACGGTCAGTGCACCATTTCTTTGAGGACTTTGAAGAAATTATGCGAACTGTCAATGCAGACGATCAGTTCAAACTGCTAAGCTTACGCCGCTCGCTACAGGGAACAGCTCGAGTGTTCCTAAGCACGACGTCTGCTCTTAACTATCGAGACCTAAAGAAGGCGGTCATCGAAGAATTCGACAGTGCAGTCAGTCGCCAGGACGTCTATCGAACACTGACCGAACGGAAGTGGAAACACCTTGAAGTGTCCCTGCACTGCTATATTCTGACCATGCAATCTTTGGCGAAGCAGGGCGGCATCCGGGAAACCGATGTTATCGACCTAATTCTCGACGGTATCGGAAACAAAATCAACAACATCAACTTGCTTATGCCGGCGCAGTCACTGGATGAGCTAAAGAGGTTAGTGAATCGATATTACACAAAATACCTCAAGCCAAACTCCAACATCACTCGGCGTATAACGCCTGCCGTCACCGTTAAACAACCTGCCGCCTCCGGTAAGCAACCTGCCGCTGGAAAGGTTAGCAACGAAGCTGGGAAGAACAGCCAATCGCTCTGCTTCAACTGCTCTATGAGGGGACATATAAAGCCAAGCTGCCCATATCCGATGCGACCCAGTGGTTCGTGTTTCCGCTGCTGGAAAATGGGGCACGACCACTATTCATGCACCAATCCTAGGAAAGTTTTGAAGCCGATTGCCGATCAACAAGTTGCCGCCGTTCTAGAAGATGAACTCATGGAATTGGAATCACTTAACTTTGTAAGTATTGCTTTTAAGACCAACCCGCGGGAGAGTGCAACCTTTAATAAATTCATTTCTCTTTTTGACACGGGTAGTCCAACTAGTTTTATGAAGCAATCGTGTGTGCCGAACAACTTAGTGACTTTAAACAATCCGCAACATAACTATCGCAGCATTGGTGGACTTAAGTTGAATATACTCTGTGAAATACAATGTTTTGTGAAATTTAAAAATGAAATAAAAAATGTTAAAATAAATATTTTGCCTGATAATGAGATGTTAGTGCCCGTCATCTTTGGACGTGATTTCTTGAAATTGTTTAACATACGGTTAACTAAAATAAAAAATAGATATGCGAAAAGCGATTTGGTATCCTATAGAAACGGAATTCCTTGCACTCCCCTGCCGGACGACTTGGTCGAAATCTTAAACAAGTTTAGCCTCTTGAAAGCTTATAAGCCACTTAACATTGAAAATATGCCCGCTAGAAGTAAGAGTGTTAGTGCCGGCTGTAGTGTCGCTGCCGAAGTGCCGGATATATTCAATATTGAAATAGCCTGCCGAAATGAAGAGTTAGACATAGATTTTTCCTTACATCCCAGTCAGCGTGCCGAACTAAATACTCTGATCCTAGACTCTTATTTACAGCCGAAAGCCCTTAGAGTAGAACCGATGGAATATAAAATGAAGATACACCTAACAACTGATGTGCCGTTTCATTGCGCGCCTAGGCGTTTATCGTACGCTGAGCGAAGTATAGTTCAGAATATATTAAGAGATTTAGGGTCAGATGAGATTATACGTCCCAGTAATTCCCCCTACGCTTCCCCTATAGTTCTCGTAAAGAAGAGGGACGGCCAAAGGCGTCTGTGTGTTGATTATAGGGGTTTGAACAAAATAACTGTGCGGGATAACTACCCTTTACCACTAATAGAAGACTGTATAGAATATCTCGAGAGCAAGAAGGTGTTTTCGGTTTTGGACCTTAAAAATGGGTTTCACCAAGTGAAAATGTCACCTGAATCCATTCCCTATACTGCATTCGTGACGCCGAATGGACAGTACGAATACCTTAAAATGCCGTTCGGACTTAAGAATGCCCCGGCCGTTTTCCAAAGATTTATAAATGATATATTTAGAGACTTAGTCGAGGCAAGGAAAGTAATCATTTACATGGACGATATAGTTATAGCGACGGAAACCTTCGAGGAACATATGACTTTATTGCGGACACTACTCGAGCGGATTAGTAAACGGGGTTTGAAGTTAAACTTGTCCAAATGCAAATTCGGATATGCTCAGATAGAATATTTGGGATACTCTGTATCCAAACGCGGAATCACTTTAAGTGAATCACATGTGAAAGATATACAAAAATATCCAATTCCAACCAATCAAAAACAGTTACACTCCTGCATAGGTCTGTTCTCGTATTTCCGCCGGTTTGTGCCGTCCTTCTCTAAAATTGCCAGACCACTGCTTAACTTACTGAAAAAGAACACTGACTTTAACTTCGACGAACACTGCCTTGCCGCATTTAAACAACTTAAAGCCAAGTTAACAGAACCTCCAATCCTAGCCATTTATAACCCCTCACGAGAGACAGAACTCCACTGTGATGCCAGCACGACTGGGTTTGGTGCAGTCTTACTGCAACGACAACATGATGAGAAATTCCATCCAATATCATACTTCTCCAAGAGTACCTCCGCTGCAGAAGCCAGATATCACAGTTTCGAACTAGAGACATTAGCTTTGATCTATGCTTTACGTCGGTTTAGAGTCTACTTGGAGGGAATCCCGTTCAAAATAGTTACAGACTGTAACTCACTTGCCATGACCTTAGAGAGGAAGCAAGTTAATCCGAGGATAGCGAGGTGGGCTCTGGAGCTCGAATCATACGATTATAAGATAGTGCACCGTAGCGGTGCTCTGATGGGGCATGCGGACGCACTGAGTCGCTGCCAAGTAGGTGTGACTTTAGACGTTGACGAAGTAGAATTCCAAGTACAAATTGCCCAAGAACGTGACGAAAATATCAAAAACATACGAGACCAGTTACAGGAAGCAGAGGTGAAGGGATTCGAACTAGAAAATGGCCTTGTCCTTAGAGTTAGGCGTGATGGTCGCAAAGTTTTGTATATCCCCCGTGAGATGGAAGACAATATAATAAGACTGATTCATGAGAAGATTGGTCACCAGTCGGTTGATAAAACCTTAAGGAAAATTTTTGATTATTATTGGTTCCCACAAATGCGTCAGAAGGTAGGGCGTTTTATTCATAACTGTCTTAAATGCATCATGTATGCTCAACCAGTCCGAGCGAATGAGAGGCACTTGTATAGCATCCCTAAAAAACCTGTTCCGTTCGACACGTTGCATGTAGATCATTTCGGGCCGTTACCGTCACTAAAATCTAAGAGGAAGCACATTCTGGTTGTAATTGATAGCTTCACTAAGTTTGTGAAGTTATACCCGACGAATTCGACGAGTACGCGGGAAGTAACCGCCGCCCTAGGGAAATACTTCAGTTACTATAGTAGACCGAGGCGCATTATATCTGATAGAGGATCCTGCTTCACCTCTTTAGAATTTGGGGAATTTCTACTTAAGCGAAATATTATACATGTAAAGGTTGCAGTGGCTTCCCCGCAAGCTAACGGACAGGTAGAGAGGGTTAATCGGGTTATTAAAACCATGTTAGGCAAGTTGAGCGACCCTATCGATCATGCTGACTGGTCAAACAGGCTCCTGCAAATAGAATACGCATTGAATAATTCGGTTCACGGTACCACAAAAAAATCGCCCAGTATGCTTCTTTTCGGGGTAGAGCAAAAAGGAGAAATAGTAGACAAATTTACGGAATACTTTGAGGATAAGCTTGGCGCACGGGAAGAGCGTGATCTGCAAACAATCCGGCGCGATGCCGCTGATGCAATACAAAGCTCCCAAGAACGTAGTCAAGAATATTCTCTAAGACATTGCGTGAGAGCTAAGAAGTACAATGTCGGTGACTTCGTCGTAATAAGAAATGTAGACACTACCGCTGGCACTAACAAAAAACTCATTCCTAAATACAAGGGACCCTACGTCGTGCACAAAATTCTCGGGAATGATAGATACGTTATCAAGGACGTAGAAAATTGCCAGTTAACTCAAATCCCATATGATGGAGTGGTTGAGGCCAATAGAATGCGTGGGTGGCTTGAGCAAAATATGGAGGCTGGACCTGTCGAAGAGCAAAGCAATACCCTAACCTAAACTAAGACCTTTTAACTATAGGTGATATTTCATCCAAGTATTTAAATAACAATAGTTAAGTAATGTTGTTAAATTAAGCTTCTGATCGAGGTCGATCAAATGTCAGATTGGCCGAGTTGTTAACACCTTTCCATCTCTAACCTCGAATGCAACCCTGTTGTGTGATTGGCAATCCGTTGGTGTGATTGACAATCCTGACTGCAGCCCTGCCTATCACATTCCTTTTCCTTTTTCCTTCTCGGCTATTCTTTTTCTCTCGCCTTTCCTCATAGATAGAGAATTTTCTGGAAAAAAGGCAAAAATCAGATAAGAATCGACACGCGCTTGTAGAACAAGTTCTCTTTTGGAAATAAAATTGTGATTTTTGCGATCGTAAAACATACAAGTTTTGACAGTTCATTTATAAGGTTTAGGGCCGTTTGCACCATGTCTAGTTAACGCTAACTGAAGGTACATCCTTCAGTTAAGCACGTCAACTGCTTTATCGAGCACATGTTATATGATGAGTGTCGATAACGTCGATAAAGATGTTTAACTGGGAGTTAAAATTCACTAGACATGGTGCAAACGGCCCTTACACAATTATAAGTATATGGTTTACAATGCATTTATAAGAAGGGTATTCATCAAACCTTATAAATGCATTGTAAACCGTATAAACTTATAATTGTGTAAACCTTATAAATTAACTGTCAAAATTTGTATGGAAACTCGTTTACACATTTCTGATAAATTTATCCAGCGATTTCACTGAATAAACTTGATAAACTGAAGCCAATGCAACTCTGTCGTAACTCTAGCTATGTTTTCTTGCGGAATAATCGGGATCCGCATTAAAATTTTGCACGCAAACACACTTTAATGGCTTTCAATTTTAATGATTTTTGACAAGCAATGTGTAAGAGGAAATTGAAAGGCAAAACTGATTGTGTATCGTCAGCATTACTGGCGAATTTAGATTATAATAACAACAACCAAGATGCAATAATACAAGGTGTTATCGGTTGGCAACTTCTCGCTCTAATTCCGCCACATTGACTGCCTTAGCTGAAAGTGTTACTTCTTTAACAATTCTTTGCCTAATAAAATAGGCGCGTATTCATAGTCCAGCAACTAAGTCGAAACTAACAAAGTTGCAGCTTAAATTTAAGTACCAACTTAAAATTTACCTCTATTCATAGTCGCATTTCGGACTTCTACTAAGTAGTTTTGACTTAGTTTACGATATAGCAAAACGAGTGTGAAAATGTATCGATTTTTCTTTACGATATTTAGGAAAAATTACATTTTTATTAAATAATGTCAAGTTTGATCATCCGTTTATGTAATTTTTATTTTCATTGCATGATTATGCAAAAGAATAAGGTATCATTTTCTTGTTAATTGTGTGAAATAGCCAGAACAACCGCAGTGATGTGAAGTCGACGTTTATCGAAAGCATGCTGTGAAACATACAAATAGTAGGGGCCAATCAGTAACTTTTTTCTCCGTGGTGAGACGGGGTGGTAAAATTGGGAAAATTTTAGTTTGGCATCCCCCGCGTACAAAAAAAAGGTGGCTATGGGGGGGTAGGGGGAGTTCTCCTGATTGCAAATATATATACTTTTAGCCGCAGGAGGCTTATAGTTTTTAAGTTATTTGTTGTTAAAGTTTGTAAATTGAACTAACCTCTCGGCGCTATTTCACACAAACACTATATTTATGTAGACACTTCGGCAAAATAGTTGCATTAAAACCCCGCACAATGAAATGTAAACATATTTTTTACATTTATGATGTATTTTTAGTAAGTTAAGTAAGTTTTAATAATTATCACGCACTTATATATGTATACGCACATTGTGAATACAGAACCGTTGATTCAACCATGGTTTCACACTGGCATTAGAAGAGTGCAGCCACATCTAAGAAAATAACAATAAAAGGGAATAGTTTTTATCGTACCCATTTTCCTGCTCAGCGTTGAATTAGTAGTAAAGGAGGGTATGGGGTTAAATACCCCCAATATATAAAAAAAAAACTGACAAGCGCCGCAGGCGAAAGTATTGATTTTTATGGAAAAAGCGCCGCAGGCGAAAATTTGTAATAAAAAATTTTCATTATTTATCGAAGTATTGATTTTTATGGAAAAAGCGCTGCAGG